GTTAGCATGATATCAAATTAATTTGCATTTGAAAAGCAGCAAGGTTTGTATCCTAACAAGTTCACCTTTAGCGTCACTCCTGTTCAAAGGCTTGGCAACCAAGCACACTACTGTAAAATGGACTATTAATGTTGTGTACGTAAACATTTTGGAAGAAGGGATTTTTTTTATCAGAATTTGGAGTGATATTTCATGCTTTTATAGGTAATGCAGTAAACAATCCATGTAACATACATTAATCTTCAAGAGTTAAAATCATTGGCTATTTCCTTCGCTAGAGTTTGGAATTATTAATAAACCTGGTGGAGGACAGTAAGCAGAACATTGCCTCCCTGGTACAGCTACGTGTAACGAGAGCACACTCGGAGATCACGTGCACCTCAGGTGACACATGATACAGCGGTCGATGTTATCTAATCGCAAAAGGTTTTAGATCACATATATCTACATGAGAGCGCACTTAGTTTACAAATAAAGACTGTTCGTTACCTAGAAATCGTGTGTTTATGGTAGAACGAAACATGGTACCAGGAGTGTAGCCTCTTCGACACGATGACAACTACACCACCTCAAGGTTCAGCGAGTGTTCAAGCGCCGACGCCATGTTATGGAATACAAAGCAATTTACCAATTCCGTCGCGATTGAATTTGGCAGGAAATATTTCAGAAAACTGGAAGAAGTGGAAGCAAGTGTGGGATTCGTTCGAAATCGCCTCACGTCTTAACCAGCAAGAAGATAAATACCGTGTAGCTACTTTCATTACCTGCATTGGAACCGAAGCCCTCGAAGTCTACAATGGTCTTCCGTTCGAAAAAGAAGAAGACAAGGACGTAATGAATACAGTTCTGGAGTTGATGGAGAGGCATTGCATTGGCCAAACAAATGTCATTTACGAGCGATACTGCTTCAATAATAGAAAACAAGAAAGCGGCGAATCATTTGACACGTATCTCACAGCGCTCAAAACTCTCGCGAAAACGTGCATTTTTGGTCCACTCACCGACGAATTAATTCGTGATAGGATCGTCTGTGGAATTTGTGACACGGGAACTAGGAAGAAATTACTACAAGAGCCCAAATTAAATCTTCAGAAGTGTATCGATGTATGTCGATCAGCCGAAACAACTGCATCGCAAATGAAAGTCATGAGTGGAAGAGAAGAAGTCAACGCACTCAACCACAAAGAGAAAAAAGACGGCAGAGACGCCAGTCCTAAGTTAGTTAATTGCAAATACTGCGGCAGAAAACACGAGAGATCAAGAGATAAATGCCCAGCGTTCGGAAAAGAATGTGCGAAATGTGGCAAAACAAATCACTTCGCCAAGCTATGTAAACAGAAACTTGGTGGGCGACAACGAAGAAAAGAACGGATTCACCGAGTGCGAGACGCAAAAACTTCGCAGGATTCGAGCGATGAAGAGTACTGCTTCACGATTTCATCCAAAAATCTGGAAGAACAAAGTGTCAAAAGTGTCAGTAGTCAACCCATCAAATCGAAAATCTTCGCAACAATGGAGATCAAAGGTCATCCCGTTCGTTTTCAAGTCGACAGTGGCGCCACCTGTAATGTGATAAGCAAAAACGATTTACCGAACGAGTGCCCGATCGCGCATTCGAAACAAGTCCTCAGCATGTTTAACGGATCGAAAATGGAAACCATTGGTAAATGTCGTGTTAATCTGGTAAATCCCAAGGTTGATGAAGAATGCGAAACAGAGTTTGTTGTTGTCAATAACGACTGCACGCCACTGTTGGGTTCCAAAACGGTGCAGAAAATGAAATTAATCAAAGTGCGTTACGAGAATATCTCATTGGTACAAGAAAAGACAGAAGCAATGGGCCTAACGATGCAACAAATAGCAGCAGATTTCCATGACGTTTTCACTGGAGAAGGAAAATTTGAGAAGAAACTTCACTTAGAGTTGGACACAACCATTGAACCAGTGAAACAGCCTGTTAGAAGGATTCCAGTGGCAATGAAACCCAAGTTAAAGCAAGAGCTCACTCGTCTCAAAGAACTTGGTGTTATCAAAGCAGTTGACACTCCAACAGATTGGGTCTCAAGCTTGGTACTTGTTAAGAAGCCCAACGGCAAGCTTCGCGTGTGTATCGACCCTCAGCCACTAAATAAAGCTTTGAAACGCAGCCACTACCCTCTTCCGGTTATCGACGATCTCCTGCCGGACTTGTCAAAAGCTAAAGTCTTCAGTGTGTGTGACGTTAAAAACGGGTTTTGGCATGTCGAGTTAGATGAAGATTCAAGCTATCTAACAACGTTTGGCACTCCATTTGGTCGGTACCGGTGGCTGAAGATGCCATTTGGCATATCACCCGCACCGGAATATTTCCAACATCGTTTGGATCAAGCCATCGAAGGCCTTCCCGGTGTGCGCACAGTTGCAGACGACATCCTCATCTCGGGTGAAGGTGACACTGTGCAAGAAGCAGTGAAAGATCACGACAAAAAACTGCTAACTCTACTTGAAAGGTGCCGCGAAAAGGGAGTGAAACTGAACAAGGAGAAGTTCAAGTTGAAGATGACAGAAATCCCCTACGTTGGTCATGTGTTAACAAGAGATGGACTAAAACCAGACCCATCCAAAATAGACGCCATCAAAGGCATGAGGCGACCAACAGATCTGAAAGGTGTACAGCGGCTTGTTGGTCTAGCGAATTACCTGACGAGATTCTTAAAAAAGCTGGCAGACATTTGCGAACCTCTGCGACAGCTAACGCGCAAGGATGCAGAATGGCACTGGAGCGACGTCCATGAGAGCGCCTTTAAGAAGATCAAAGAAGCAGCTTCCCAAGCACCTGTCCTCCGATACTTTGATCCCGCCAAAGAGACTGTACTTCAATGCGACGCCTCGGACACTGGACTTGGAGCTACGCTTTTACAAAATGGTCAGCCAGTGGCATACGCATCGCGATCCCTGACGGATACAGAACGCAACTATGCGCAAATAGAAAAAGAACTGCTAGCCATAGTGTTTGGAGCCGAGAAGTTCAACCAATACACTTATGGTCGCAAAGTGATTGTTGAGAGCGACCATAAACCACTTGAAGTTATTTACCGCAAACCTCTTGTGGCCGCCCCCAAGCGTCTACAACGAATGCTACTTCGCCTGCAGAAGTATAACCTCGAAATTGGTTTCAAGCCAGGCCAGCACATGTATCTGGCAGACACACTCTCTAGAGCACTCCTTCCCAACACCACATCGCGCGATGAAGTGCTAACCATCGACAAAGAAGTTGAAGAAATACATATGGTCGAGTTTCTGCCACTCCGCAAAGCTAGCCTAGACGATATCCGTAAAGAAAGTCTGCGAGACAGCACGATGCAAGCACTTCAGAAAGTCATTCGAGAAGGGTGGCCTGAGACCAAGATTGATCTCCCAAATGACGTCACGCCATACTTCAACGTTCGTGACGAGCTATCAGCGCAAGATGGAATTATCTTCAAAGGAGACAGATGTGTAGTTCCAAAATCTCTCAGACCAGAAGTCCTATCCAGAATCCACCGATCACATATTGGCGTGGAAGGATGCTTGAGACGCGCGAGAGAAAGCGTTTTCTGGCCAGGAATGAACACAGCTGTGAAGAACTTTGTCAGACAGTGTGAAACTTGTCGAACCTTTGAGATCTCCCAGCAGAAGGAAACACTCCACCCACATGAGGTACCTGACCAGCCATGGTCCAAGGTTGGTGTTGATCTGTTTGAGACAAACAACCGACATTACCTCGTGACCGTAGATTACCACAGCAACTACTGGGAAGTCGATAGGTTGGAGTCCAGTACAACATCTAAAGCTGTTATTTACAAATTGAAGCAACACTTTGCAAGGCATGGCATCCCGAACACTGTGTTTTCCGACAATGGCCCACAGTTTGATTCGGACGAATTCAGGAGATTTGCTCGAGATTGGGAATTCAATCATTTAACCTCAAATCCCGGACATTCGCAGTCCAATGGTATGGCGGAAAGCGCAGTCAAGACTGTGAAAAGGCTTATTAAGAAGGCTAACAAAGATGGAACAGATCCTTGGCTCGCGATCCTCGACCACCGAAACACACCCTCAGAAGGCATGAAAAGCAGTCCAGCACAACGACTAATGAGTCGTCGAACAAGGACCCTACTCCCAACAAGCGAGAAGCTCCTTAAACCCAAACTCGCCGAAAATGTCCAAGAAGAAAAATGGAAGACAAGAACCAAGCAGGCATTTTACTACAATAGAAACGCTCGAGATTTGCCACCACTGAAAACTGGAGACTCAGTGCGCATTCAGCCCACAAGCAACCCCAAGGCGCCCTGGAAGAAAGCCACTGTTCAGGCACAGGTGAACATGCGATCCTACAAAGTCCTCACAGAAGATGGCTCTGCCCTTAGACGAAATAGAAGGCATCTGAAAGCAACTACAAAAGAGTCTCACACGCCAACAACCCAGATGCCCAAGCAGACAGAACTTCCCTCGCCATCTAAACACATTGAACAAGAAACTAACGCCAGTGGTCACTCCAGCTTAGAAGTAGCGAAGCCACAGGAGCCAGCGATCGAGCAGCCTGCGACTGATCTAGCATCGCAAGCTTCCAAAGGCAACCAGACTCGCAGTGGTCGAATAACGAAGCCCCCGTCCTATCTGAAAGACTTTGTTCGTTAACCTGAGTCAGTGTCATGAGAGACAAAGACATTACCGGACTTGACTAGTTGATTCTTTTGGATAGTGGTTTTGATTTTTTTGTTTCTCATGTTTGTCTTGATTGTTCCGTTGTTTTCGTTTTGTTTCTTATGAAAGAAAGGATGTAACGAGAGCACACTCGGAGATCACGTGCACCTCAGGTGACACATGATACAGCGGTCGATGTTATCTAATCGCAAAAGGTTTTAGATCACATATATCTACATGAGAGCGCACTTAGTTTACAAATAAAGACTGTTCGTTACCTAGAAATCGTGTGTTTATGGTAGAACGAAACACATACAACCGATTGTAAAGCAGGAATAGCGCTGAGTGTCATTTTGACGAAAACGAAAATCTCGTATTCGCGTTCAACTATTGTAGGCATTCATAACAAAAGCCTTGTTACATTTCGTTCTCTTCGCAAGCATTTAAATTTGTAAAGGTAAGAAAAAAAGACGATTCCATTGACCAAAATGTAATAAAATAGTCTGATTTTATTTCTTCACCAAAGTAAAGTTACACATCTCGAGTTCCATTCAACAAAAAGTAGAAAGTAATGAAAAATAGCCAAAATAGAGAAACATTTAACCCCTCTAAGTTCATGCGTCATTCTTTTTGAGATGAAAAAAAAAACAAGTTTTCATTTATTTAATTCTGTATTCAAATTTTCTCTTTCCTTTGCCATGAAGTCAAAAGTGACGTCATCTCCAATCAGCAAAAAGGGAGCCCAGTGTTTGATGTCGCGGAACTGGTCTGATTCTCTAAGGCTTCTCATGGCCAGGTTCAGTGACTCGCTTGCAGGTTCACTTTCGGCAAGGTGTCGATAAAAGCATTTCATGAACTCAAGAGTAGCCTTGTCATCAATCGCCCACAAGGACACCACAACAGACCGAGCACCAGCCCCCATAAAAGCGCGCGCAATGCCAACCACACCTTCAGCCTTGATCTCGCCTCGACCGCTGTGGCAGCAACTAAGTACAACTAGTTTAGCGCGAAGTTGAACATTTGACACATCTCGAATCGTTAAAATGTAATCCTCCTTCCTGGTAGGCACAGTAGATGTTCGGTCTGGGTCAGGTGTAAGAGCAATTTCGCCAGTTTCCATACATCCGTGTGCCGCAAAGTGAACTAAGGAAACGGAACTGAGTCTTTTCAACACCTCACGTTTCGTGGCTTGTCTGCCAGTGATTGGCGTGATATTCAGAATTTTTCCGATCATTTCTACTTCTTCTTTAGCATACGGAAGCTGCTCGAGGAGTTTCTCTCCCTTGCTGTTGGTAACCTCGGCTACCCACGGATCTCCTACAAGTAACGCACCACTGCTTTTATGATAATCATCTGGGCAATCGGCAATGAGTCTAAGACTCGTTAATGATGGAGCGATTCGGATTCTGAAAGATTCACACAGGTATTTAGAATTACCATCCTTCAATGCAGCGTAAGGAGCAAGCCACAGGGGTCCATCGGGAATAATGACTAGCTCATCCCCTTGAACCAGGTCAGCCACCGGCTTCATGACGATATCATACAAAGTGCTCAAGCATTTGTTTTGTTGGATGGCAGGTTGAAGGGTGTCTTCTTTAGGTTTCTCATCCACTTTTGAAGGGCTCTCCCTCAAAGCATCCAAAGACCGATTCTCGCATCTCACAATAGAACGAACACCAAGTTGTGTATAGACACCGAGCATGAACGACTCAAAGGACTGGCTAGCTCCACTATTCTCTGAAACAAAACCTTTGAGTTTACTTTGTCTTAACTGAACTTGTTTTCCTTCGGACACAACCCAAAGATTGACATCAGCTCTGTCCACTGCCTGAAAGACGGTGTTTGATGGAACGTTTTTTAAAACTTTTAAAAAACGTTTCATCCAAATCGATGAAGACTTAGCAGTGACTGCTAAATCTTCATCGCCTGTCTTGTGCTGACTTGTTCCACCACAAAAACTAGATTCCATAAGGTCGGACAGAGCTTGAGCTCGTCCTTTCTCAGCAACAAATAAGGCTTCATCTATATTACCTTGTTCTAGGAGAACTCTGCACAAACCCGTATACGCCATTTGATACTGAGTTCGAAAATTAACTTTCCACTCATCTTTAGATTTTAGAAGTACTCTCAAGGAATTGAATAAGTTTATGCTAGCTTGGTAATGTTCAACGGCTTTTGGCAGTCCACCCTGCAACTCAGAAACGCATCCTAATGAACAGTAGGTCATTGCCTCCAAGTATTTGTCTTCGACCCCTTGAGCAATTTTAAGCGCTAGGTTGTATGACTCGTTAGCCTTTATCAAATCTCCCTCAGTTTGATACATACCACCAATATTACCACTTGTCTCCTACTTCTTTAGCTATTTTAAGATCTAGGTTGTGGTACTCTATGGCTTTTTTGAAATCACCCAGACTGTGATAAGTATTGCCAAGATTGCCATAAGCGTTACCCTCCCCATGCTTGTCTCCTACTTCTTTAGCTATTTTAAGATGTAGGTTGTGGTACTCTATGGCTTTTTTGAAATCACCCAGACAGTGATAAGCATTGCCAAGATTGCCATAAGCACCACCCTCCCCATGCTTGTCTCCTACTTCTTTAGCTATTTTAAGATGTAGGTTGTGGTACTCTATGGCTTTTTTGAAATCACCCAGACTTAAATAAGCATTGCCAAGATTGCCATAAGCACTACCCTCCCCATGCTTGTCTCCTACTTCTTTAGCTATTTTAAGATCTAGGTTGTGGTACTCTATGGCTTTTTTGAAATCACCCAGACTAAAATAAGCATTGCCAAGATTGCCATAAGCACTACCCTCCCCATGCTTGTCTCCTACTTCTTTAGCTATTTTAAGATGTAGGTTGTGGTACTCTATGGCTTTTTTGAAATCACCCAGACTAAAATAAGCATTGCCAAGATTGCCATAAGCAACACCCTCCCCATGCTTGTCTCCTACTTCTTTAGCTATTTTAAGATGTAGGTTGTGGTACTCTATGGCTTTTTTGAAATCACCCAGACTAAAATAAGCATTGCCAAGATTGCCATAAGCAACACCCTCCCCATGCTTGTCTCCTACTTCTTTAGCTATTTTAAGATGTAGGTTGTGGTACTCTATGGCTTTTTTTAAATCACCCAGACTAAAATAAGCATTGCCAAGATTGCCATAAGCAACACCCTCCCCATGCTTGTCTCCTACTTCTTTAGCTATTTTAAGATGTAGGTTGTGGTACTCTATGGCTTTTTTGAAATCACCCAGACTAAAATAAGCATTGCCAAGATTGCCATAAGCACCACCCTCCCCATGCTTGTCTCCTACTTCTTTAGCTATTTTAAGATGTAGGTTGTGGTACTCTATGGCTTTTTTGAAATCACCCAGACTAAAATAAGCATTGCCAAGATTGCCATAAGCAACACCCTCCCCATGCTTGTCTCCTACTTCTTTAGCTATTTTAAGATGTAGGTTGTGGTACTCTATGGCTTTTTTGAAATCACCCAGACGGTGATAAGCATTGCCAAGATTGCCATAAGCAACACCCTCCCCATGCTTGTCTCCTACTTCTTTAGCTATTTTAAGATGTAGGTTGTGGTACTCTATGGCTTTTTTGAAATCACCCAGACTAAAATAAGCATTGCCAAGATTGCCATAAGCACTACCCTCCCCATGCTTGTCTCCTACTTCTTTAGCTATTTTAAGATGTAGGTTGTGGTACTCTATGGCTTTTTTGAAATCACCCAGACGGCGATAAGCATTGCCAAGATTGCCATAAGCACCACCCTCCCCATGCTTGTCTCCTACTTCTTTAGCTATTTTAAGATGTAGGTTGTGGTACTCTATGGCTTTTTTGAAATCACCCAGACTAAAATAAGCATTGCCAAGATTGCCATAAGCAACACCCTCCCCATGCTTGTCTCCTACTTCTTTAGCTATTTTAAGATGTAGGTTGTGGTACTCTATGGCTTTTTTGAAATCACCCAGACTAAAATAAGCATTGCCAAGATTGCCATAAGCAACGCCCTCCCCATGCTTGTCTCCTACTTCTTTAGCTATTTTAAGATGTAGGTTGTGGTACTCTATGGCTTTTTTGAAATCACCCAGACGGCGAAAAGCATTGCCAAGACTGCCATAAGCACCACCCTCCCCATGCTTGTCTCCTACTTCTTTAGCTATTTTAAGATGTAGGTTGTGGTACTCTATGGCTTTTTTGAAATCACCCAGACTAAAATAAGCATTGCCAAGATTGCCATAAGCAACACCCTCCCCATGCTTGTCTCCTACTTCTTTAGCTATTTTAAGATCTAGGTTGTGGTACTCTATGGCTTTTTTGAAATCACCCAGACTAAAATAAGCATTGCCAAGATTGCCATAAGCAACACCCTCCCCATGCTTGTCTCCTACTTCTTTAGCTATTTTAAGATGTAGGTTGTGGTACTCTATGGCTTTTTTGAAATCACCCAGACTAAAATAAGCATTGCCAAGATTGCCATAAGCAACACCCTCCCCATGCTTGTCTCCTACTTCTTTAGCTATTTTAAGATGTAGGTTGTGGTACTCTATGGCTTTTTTGAAATCACCCAGACTGTCATAAGCATTGCCAAGATTGCCATAAGCACCACCCTCCCCATGCTTGTCTCCTACTTCTTTAGCTATTTTAAGATGTAGGTTGTGGTACTCTATGGCTTTTTTGAAATCACCCAGACTAAAATAAGCATTGCCAAGATTGCCATAAGCACCACCCTCCCCATGCTTGTCTCCTACTTCTTTAGCTATTTTAAGATGTAGGTTGTGGTACTCTATGGCTTTTTTTAAATCACCCAGACGGCCATAAGCATTGCCAAGATTGCCATAAGCACCACCCTCCCCATGCTTGTCTCCTACTTCTTTAGCTATTTTAAGATGTAGGTTGTGGTACTCTATGGCTTTTTTGAAATCACCCAGACGGATAAGCATTGCCAAGATTGCCATAAGCACCACCCTCCCCATGCTTGTCTCCTACTTCTTTAGCTATTTTAAGATGTAGGTTGTGGTACTCTATGGCTTTTTTGAAATCACCCAGACTAAAATAAGCATTGCCAAGATTGCCATAAGCACTACCCTCCCCATGCTTGTCTCCTACTTCTTTAGCTATTTTAAGATGTAGGTTGTGGTACTCTATGGCTTTTTTGAAATCACCCAGACGGCGATAAGCATTGCCAAGATTGCCATAAGCACTACCCTCCCCATGCTTGTCTCCTACTTCTTTAGCTATTTTAAGAATTAGGTTGTGGTACTCTATGGCTTTTTTGAAATCACCCAGACGGTGATAAGCATTGCCAAGATTGCCATAAGCACCACCCTCCCCATGCTTGTCTCCTACTTCTTTAGCTATTTTAAGTAGGTTGAGGTACTTTATGGCTTCTTCTCCCCGATTATAGAGGTCTATGACTTTCTTGACATCACCTGAACTTGCACTACCATGGTTATGACTAATAGGATCTTTTTCCTCCATGGACTTTTCTCCCACTTCTCTGACAGACTGAAGTCTTAATGACAACAAGATCCTATTGTTTTTGTCAATCTTTTTTATGTTAAGGGTTAAAAAGGTGGACAAAACGAAAATATTATTTTTCTCATCATATTGGTATGTAATAGTCCATTTTTACAGTTGCATGCTTGGTTGTAAAGCCTCTGAACAAGAGTGATGGCTAAGGGTGACCTTGTTATGATAAAAACATTGCTGCTTTTCAAATGCAAATTACTTTGTTATTATTGTCACTAGATACTGGTCTCTATCACAACAAGGTCACCTTCAGCCTCACTCCAAATCAAAGGCTTGGCAACTAGGTACACAACTATAAAATGGTCTATTAGGAGGGCTTGTGTGAAAGGTAGATGTTTTATCAACATTCAGTCAGTTATGAAGTAAATCTACACTGGAAAAAAATTTTTTTTTCTGTGTGCAGCCTCAAAATTTAACGCGAAATATCTAGATTTAATCCCTTGTTTCCAAAAACTGGGGAGCACCTGCTCAATTTTTAAATTAATATAGCTTTAACATCAGACGAATGTTTTACAGCAGTGGAAGAAACAAGTCTACAACACAAATACGTGCCTTTAAAAGTTGTATTTGTCCATAGGAAAACATGACGAAAGTTTCCAGGTCTCTAAGTAGTTGAAAAGGTTAAATTCAAGAAAATCTGCATAGGATATGTAAACATTACCAAGCTTTTTGTTCTGGCTTGTTTTAGAGAGATCTGATCTACCCACGTACTATGTATAAATTGGGTGAATATTTGACTTTTAACCCTTTAACTCCCGTGAGTGACCAAGAGAGAATTTCTCCTTACGAGAGCATTACAATATCATCAGATAAGTGTTGAGAGTAAAGAAAAATATTAATTTGGGAATAATTAGTTGATCCAATACTGAATTCTCTGAACTAACATTACAAGAACTGTACAGTTGACAGTAAGGATAATTACAAATTTGGTCTGTGAATTAAAGGGTTATCTAAACTAATGTACCAGTTATTGGCATGGATAGTAGAACTAAGTCAAATTGGCTAAAAGGAGTAATATCATTGATAAGTCACAAGGTAATAACTTTTCCCATGTTTTTTAATCACACACTCTTAAAGTATGAGCTGACAAGTTCCCATCATAATTAATACCCTTCTTTGTATTTTCTCCCTTAAAACATTAAATTATGGAAACTTTTTCCATTATACCCATGGTTAAAAATGAAAGATTCCTTCAAAGGATACAGCTAGTCCCTTATCACACCAAGTGATTGCTTCTTCAAATCTCTTCAATTCAACACAAGCAGTGGTTCCTATAGGCAACAATGCAAAGAAGCATATTATTACTGTAGCTCAATTCTGAAAAAAGAACCTGAAACCATTAAAATCATTACAGACCAGAAGAAAAAAAACGACAGAACAAAACAAAGCAAAAATACTAAATGGAAAAGAATAAACAGGCCCTATCAGGTTTCAGTTAGATTTATTTAGCTTTTAAGACAACTGAAACTTCTAAGAACATTTAAATTGGGACCGACAATTCCTTACCTAAAGAGTTAGGTAAGTCCTGATCCTTACTTCTTTTTAAAACAGCTAGATAGTGACTTAACATATCTGACACCTGTGACTACCTCACTCAGTGAGCTTAAAGAACTAAAATACTTGTGCTGAAATTTTGCTTTGCATTCTGCATTGAGTTCTTCATCCAGCTCAAAATAATATTCTCATCATAATTAATGAAAAGTAGTTGCATAGCAGTCAAGAGCTGGATTCAAATGTACATAAGGGTGGTCTTGACCTCTTAATTAAAGTCAATTGAGACAAAATTGAGCTTCATCT